GAAACAAATAAACCTTCAAATTTATGGGTTATGATTGAAGTAAGTATTTGTAATATCTTTATATTCAACTATTAACCCATGAATAAAGCACTTCAAACTTTAGCTCCTCTTATAAAATGTCTATTAGTGAACAGTCTATATATTTTATTTATTATATTTTAATTTTTTTAAATTTCAGCATATTATAGGGATATAAATGTTTATGTTACATATATTGCCTTTGACCTGCCTTGAGTCAGGGCTTCAACTGTGTCCATCCCCCAGACATGTGTTTTATTTTTAAGAGACCCTTGGATTGAGATATTCCTTCTCTCCTACTAATACTTCAGCCTTGTTAATAATTCCTTTATAAAAATTTTTATTTTCTATGGAAACAGTATAATAGACCCATCATATTTACTGCTAGCTGTGTTTTCTGGTGATGGGAGTAAGGGGGGCAGATGAATTGAGGAAGCTGCTAATCTTGGAGGGTTTAGCAACATCACGAAATAGAAGTTAAAAATACTCTATGAAAGTAAATTATTATTAGTGAAATGAACTGTATTAAAATGCGTACATAAGCAAAACGTTAGAGAGGAAAAACAACATTTTAATTTAGGAAAACATTTTTATAAAAAAAAACTTTAAAATAAGTAGAATAGGCTGATTTTTATTTGAAGCAATCATGAAATGCATTAGGAAATCAGCAAAGCATCAAAATGGAAATAGTAGTGAAGCTGATTTGTGGGTAATACACGAGCTTCTCGATCCCTTCTTATCCCTGCTCACCTGTAAGGAGCTCCTGTTTTACACTAATGTGTGGCCCCAGCCAGTGCAGAAGAACAGACCTTCCCCACCCCCTAAACTGGCTTCCTGCTCCTGCAGCCACCAATGGCTGGGGCCAATGTGGTCCATCCCTTGCCCAAACTGATCTGGGGAATGAGGCAAGCAGTCCAAACCCCGAGTGGGAAGTGCTGTGATGGGACACAAAGGAGGCACAGTTGGAGGGGCAGAGGGTTGGTCTCTTGACTGTCACACTTGAAATATGAGTAGGAGTCACTCGTGCCAAGAGTAAGGAAAGTGTGTCCACGAGAAAGATGAGCACGTGCAAAGTTGCAGGAGTAAGGAGGAGCATGGTGTGTTTCAACAGAAAGAAATGGCTAGAACTGGGATGTGATTTAGAGAGTGGAGAGAGAAGGTGAGAAAAGGCATTAGGAAGAACTTTGCGAACTACGTTAAAGCATTTAGATTTTATTTTTAGAGACTGGAGGAGCCTTGCAATAGTAAGGCAGGATAGTGGCATGATGGTGTCTGGTTTCAGGAAAATTACTCTAGCCACCCGGTGGGGTGGGGAATGATTGACAGGGAAAGGCTGGAGGCAGAGGGTCCTACAGTGGACTATGGTAATCTGGTGGGGGGCATGGGTGGGAGGGAGGATGGTATGGACTGCAGAGATGACAGGGAACCTAAGGCAACAATGGTTTTTGCTTTGAAAAAGAATTTAAAAAATAATTGATTTGGGGTGTGTGTGTGTGTGTGTGTGTGTGTATGGTCAGGGTTAGAGAGGGAAGGTCAAGTGAGGAAGAGGGTAGAATCCAGAGTAATGCCCACCTTTCAGGCTTTGTGGTGTGGTGGACGGCAGGAACGGATTGGTAAGGAAAGAAGAGTCAATTCTGTTTGGGACTCACCCACCCTGGAGAGTCTGTGACAGTCAAGTCTTGATGGGCAGGGCAGGTGGACATACAAGTCCCAAGCTCAGGGACTTGTAAGAGATTAGGCCTGAGGTGACTGCCAGGAAATACTGAAGGAAAAGTGTGACAGTAGGAAAGAGCCACAATATTCGATTCCTCTGAGGCTACCGTTTGGCCTTTCTTTATCTTCCTCTCCACTCTCTGAATATCGGTCATTGTTTATTTTCATAACTAACAAATGTAGACTTTCTGTGTGATGATAACAAAGCAAAAACAGCTGCTACTGAAGGAGGGAAAAATGAGAAGGAAAAAGAAAAAAGCAAGAGAAAAGAATCTCAGAGAAGTTGGGGGAAAACTCAGTGAGTCCTGGCCTTGCGGCCCAGCTGGAATTGGCTTAGGGGCTCCTGCTCACGGGTGTCTTCCCTCCCCACTCCCTGTCTTTCTGGCTGTTTCATTTGTCTCCGTTCCCTTCCACTTCCTACTAGTCAAACCCTAGATTCCCCCAAAGGCTTTTTATTTTCATGTTTTGGTGGGTAAGAAAATAGTGATGAGTATTTTTCCAAACCTTCACCTGAACATCACGTCTTGCTTCATCCTGACTTGCACAGAAGGGACTTTTGGGCCAATCTGGTCACAGGTACACACAGTTATTCTGTCTCTTCAGTAAAAATCAAACAAGCAAACAAACAAAAACCAGCATTGTATGTTTCAGTAATACAACTGGTGTGAATTGTTGTTTTAAAAAATTATTTCTACTTCAATAGGATTTCTTCTTGTACTGTTTTCACAAGACCAAACAATAAAATTGAAGAAGGAATTTCTTCTTAGGCAACTTACATTAATTGCTTTGATAATATGTATTGGCCAAATTATACATATTAAGGAAAAGAAAAAAAACTACTTTGTTGTTTTTCTTCTTGGGAGGGGAAGTTGAAGACTTACAAATAGTTGTTAATGGTGTTTGGTTAACAAGAATTTGTTTAAATTGTATAGATCAAATATGTTCTTATTAAATTTTTCTTTTTGCCACTTTATCAATGCTAGCTTTGCCACAAAGGTTTGCAATATGAACATGATGCTGTTGTACATCTCTTTTCATTTTCGTTAGGAGATGAATTCAGTTCTAGAAATCTATTGTATTTTATGCATTAAACATGTTTGTTCAGGAATTTCACTTGGTTCAATAAAGATACACATCTATCACGGATGGCCAATCCAAACATAAGACTCAGCCAGTTGGCCTCTGACCCAGTTTGGTTCTCCCATCTTCTTTTGGCTTGCAAAATAATTGACTTTGGAGAGAAAGGGAGTCAAAGGGATATTTGGTTTGCATGGTTATTGACCAATTTCTTCTGAGACTTAGCGTATACACATTTTAAAATATATCAACACATATTGCATAAACACCATAAAAGACCAAACACTAAAAGTTTCTTTAAAGTATCAGAAGGATGCACCTTTTGCCTAGAGTTAGCATCTGGTAAACTCTAAGCAAGGTAAATTTTATTTCTGTTCTATTATTTCTTCAGTTTGTCCCAATTAATAAGGGCAAATCTAAAAATAATAACTATTTGAGTCAGTGTGTGGTCTTTTACTAAAGTTACAGGTTTATAACTCTGCTGACTAGCTTGCTGGTTTCTATTAGGCAATAGAGGAGTACAGATATTAATTTGACCTGAAGCCTGTTTATACAGTGACTTTTATAATGTATATCTAAAGATGGAAAACCAAGTTTTATGAGACCAGCATTTCTTGTCAGCTCCCCACTCCACCCTATTCTAATTGGGACTGACCCTTAAATTGAATAAAGAACAAAGAGTTCTATAGTTAAAACATTGGGCTACAGGTTGCATCTTGCCCTTAGTAAATGGGAAAATAGAGACTTAAGCAGAGAATCTCAATTAGAGGGTGAAATATATATTCAATTTTTTTGAGGGAAAGAATGAGAGCTATGTTTTAAAACAGTATGTATCATTTCCTTGATCTAAAATTCAGGACATTTCCCCAAGATGTGTACAAACTTAGGCTTACATGAACAGACTGCTTTATAAAAACATGCCAATATTTATTAATTTGTGAAGTTTAATATTCTGCATATTATAAATCTGACTTTTTTGATGGATATAGGAGTGGAGATGACTTCTAAATCTTAGAGCAGAAACTTCCTGGGGGTAATTGGATATGTGTGGCTGGAACTCAGAGAAGAGGGTTGGGCTGGGAGTATAAATCTGTGAGTGATCTGCATTGGTGATGTGGAAGCCATAACTGGGACTAGGTTCTCTTATAGGAGAATATGGGGTAGTATGAGAAGAGAAAGGCCTCAGATTGAGCCCCAAGCAAGTCTGGCTTCATGTTGGATGGAGGAAATTGAATCTGCAAATAGTACTGAGGAGTCTCAGCCTGAGAGGCAGAAGGAACACCAGAAGTTTTGTGTTCTGGAAGCCAAAGGAAAAGGCTATTTCAAGGGGAAGGGAGGGGTCCATGTTATCAGCTGCTTCTGCTTCTGATAGCTTGAGCATGCTGTGGACTGAAAACTATCTCTTGGGTTCAGTGACAGGAGTCATTGGTGATCTTAGAGAAGCTGCTTGTAGGCTACTAAGGTGGAAAACAGATTGGTTTGGGTAAAGCCATGCAGGGGAGGTGAAGAAAATATCTCAATTATTCTAATTCCTAGAACAATTTTATGTGGTGGGTGCCGTTATTTTCTGTAGGCTAGAGAGACCTAGAGACGTTAATAGCTTGCTCAATGTTAATAGTCAGTGATGGGCTAACTTACTAGCCTAAGGGCCCAGCCAACCACCCCCAACTTGGCTTCTGTTTAGGTATTCCGTGTTGCATTTTAATACCTACCCAAAGATGCTTTAAATTGTATTTTTAAAAGGGCCACTTTGAAACTCTGTTCCTGAAAATTCTATTTCCAACAACTCTACGCTGACAACAATTTTAGCGAGTGGCCTGGGTTAAAAAAACAAAAAGCAAAACAAAAACAAAAAAAACACAAAACCAAAAAAAACTCCAAAGCCTTATCTCCTGAGAAAATATAATCTTGTGAGCTCATCTAAAACACCACGCAGCAAAATATAGGCTGTGTGAACTGGAGGCGATTTGCCTAAGGAACTTCTGAAGCAATTGGCTGCAGCAGAAATGAAGTAAGTCTAAAAGAGAGGTTATGTTTACACTTCAAGGACAGGAAAAGCCAGGCAGGCTGAGGTAGCAACATAGTAAGGCCAAGTGCGAAATAGGAAAACATCCTCCAAACTGTTTCCCTATGGATTCTGACTGGGTAGGTTTCCTGAAATAATATTAATTCTGTCCTCTTGCTTTTAATAGGACATAATGACTACATGTGTCCGGCTACCAACCAGTGCACCATTGATAAAAACAGGCGGAAGAGCTGCCAGGCCTGCCGGCTGCGCAAATGCTACGAAGTGGGGATGATGAAAGGTGGTAGGTACACCTCCCACGGGGCCTCGGGGACGGCCTTGGCCACTGCCCAGCGCTGGCTATTTCTGCTCTCATAACAGCTGTGGGGATTTAGTGCTTTCTTTTCTAGTTAAATGTTTTTCCTATTCTTATTTTTCTTTGCGACTGAGGTATTTTCATAATGTATTTTGTTTAAGAAAATGGAAGTAGCTGGAACTGTAAATTCTAACTTGCCATTTTGTGTTTTAGACTTTCAGTGTAAATAATTATATTTTAAATCAAAGGTGTGTGGGAGGTGGTGGTGGAAGGAGACAAAGACAGCTCAGGGAGTTATTCTAGAAATATTTTTCAGTTACTGTTTATATTGCGAATGCTAGAAAATGATATCTGAGGATAAGCTTTCCCTAAATTGAGACCTGTAAATGTGAACGCTAAATAGCTAATTTATAACCTTCCCATCTCTTACCATTTCTTGGGGAATATGCTTGTGAATCAAAAGGCAGTTTTCGCTTTTGGAAATTGAGTCAACCAGACACTTTCTTAACCTCAGTGTCTGGCTTGGTGCTGGGACATTTAAATGAATACTGAACACTAATAAATCCCAAAGCATGAGGATTTTGCCTCCCTGGGCTTGTGTCATTGTGGCTCGCTGTCTGTGTGTGGTTTTCTGTCTTTTCATGTATCCAATATTCCAATTTTCTTATCCAGAAATCTCGAGTCCAGTTCTGGGGGTGTTAGAAGCTCCATCAATGTGGTTGCCTGATTGAGCTTCTTGTATTGTTGGGAATTTCATCTTGAGGGACATTGCTTCTAGTCTTGGATGGCCTTCCACACAGTGGGAGAGAAAAAATAGGAAATGTGCAATGAAAACAAAGTCACAGATGCATTCAGTGTTTCAGGATGATATGGAGGGGGAGGGAAGGGAAGAAGGGAGTGGGGAAAACTTGCTGAAGGAGAGGAGGCTTGGGGTGAATTAAGGGGAACAAAGTTTGAATGAAAAAGAATAATGATTTTGCAAATAGAAGGCAGCTAACCTTTAACTCATTAATACTTGGACAAAGGAGGAAGGAGAGGAAAGACCAGGGGTGGAGGTCAGGATGAAGGCATGCTTGATCATTACCAAGTTCCTCAGTTCCATGATAACAAATCAGTCCTCCATGTTGTAATTTTGAATACACCATTTGGAATAAATTCTCTTGGTGAATAGATGAAATGTTGAGTTTACACATTGTGTGAGCTGCAACTGTGACTATATGTCTTGAATATCTGAAAATGCAGCTTTAATTCAAAGGGTAATTAATTCCAAGAATTTAACAGCTACATTCAGAAAATGACACTTTGAGTCATAAATGGATTAAATATTTAAGGAATTCACCTTTCTTTGTACTGCTGGAGAATTAGTCAGGCTTAATTAAACTCACAAAAAAGCTTCTTCAGGTAACTTGATAAGTGACAGGAACATAACAGCTACATGAGAAAAGCTTAATCTGAACAGTGGAGTCCACGTTTAATGTTTTTATTTGGCGATTATAGATAGGTTAAACACAGGCTCTTACATTCTCTCTGAAAGCTGAAATACACAACCTGTGAATATGTCCAAAACATTTTTTTTTTAAATTCAAGGGTACCCATACATTGACCCCACTAAATAAAAAAAAATTAAGTTTTTTTTCCTAATTAATATCCAGATAAAGTCTGGCTGGATAAGTAGAAATTATGCATACTCATTTTTAATCTAATAGCAATTCTAATATGCAAAGACATGATAAAAGTCTCCCTACTATTTTCAAATAGGAATCTAGATAATTTGACCGCGCAAAGCAGTCTGTGCATGCAAATACTTGTACATATATTTATGACTATAAAACAGATGTCTGTATTAGTTTTCTGGGGCTACCATAATGAAATACCATAGAGTGGGTGGCTTCACTTGATCTTAGCCAAAAGGCCGAGAAGTGATAGACTAGGTGGCTTAAGCAACAGAAATTAATTTTCTTATAGTTCTAGAGGCTAGAAGTCCAAGATCAGGGTGCTGGAAAATTCGGTTTCTGGTGAGGTCTCTTTTTCAGGTTTGTAGATAGCTGCTTTCTTGCTGTGTCCTCAAAGAGCCTTTTATCTGTGTCTCTTCGTTTTCTTCTAAATACATTAGTTCTACTGGATTAGAGCCCTGCCCTCATGACCTCATTTAACCTTAATTATCTCCATAAAGGCCCTGTATCTTATTGGGGGTTAGGGCTTCAACATATGAATTTTGTGGGGACATAATTCATTCAGTTCATAATGGGCTGCCATAACAAAATAACACAGACTAGGTGGCTTAAATAACAGAAATTAATTTTCTCACAGTCTGGAAGCTGGAAGTCTGAGATCAAGGTGTTGGCAGGTCTGGTTTCTCCCGAGGCCTCTCTCCTTGGCTTGCAGGTGGCCTTTTCTCTGTGCATGCACGTCCCTCGTGTCTCTTCCTCTTCTTAGAAGGACACCAGTCCTATTGGACTAGGGGCCCATTTAATATTATGACCTCATTTAATCTTAATTACCTCTTCAAAGACCCCATCTCCAACTACAGTTCCATTTTGAGGTACTGGGGGTAAAGGTTTCAACATATGAAGTTGGTAGGTACAGATTCAGTTCATAACAATATCCCATAGAGATTGCTCAGTGATTGTTTAGTATTCTGTAAATAGAATAAAAATTTGTCTTTCTGGAAGTTTATATATGTATACACACACACACACACACACACACACGTTTTAAGTCAAACTTTAAATTCATAAAACTATAGCCTGTGAGAACATCCGTTTTAATTACATATATAGAGTGCCTCCTATAAAGCAATGTCATTTATTGTATTTTCCATGACATGGGATACCACATATAGCCTCAGGGCACTTTGTATAACAACTTCTGAAAAATCCCTCTAAATAAAGACTTACTTTAAAACTGGAAGTCCAATTATAACTAACTATAAAATTTGAAGTTATAAAGAACAGCTGTGACTGAATAAATTTTTACAACATTTTCCAACAGGTTTTACAACAATCCAGTTTCTTAACCAGGTTAGTTACCAATTAGGATATTGAATCTCTCCATAGAAATAAAAAGTTTATCCTGCATAGAGCTGGGGCCCATTCTATTAAGTAAAGTATCACAAGAATGGAAAAGCAAGCACCATATGTGCTCACCATCAAATTGGTATTAACTGATCAACACTTGTGTGCAAGTATAGTAGTAACATTCATCGGGTGTTGGGCAGCTGCAAGGCAGGTGAAGAGAATGGGTATATTCACACCTAATGGGCGTGGTGTGGACCATTTGGGGGATGGACACACTTGAAGCTCTGACTCAGGTGGGGCAAAGGCAATATATGTAACCTAAACATTTGTACCCCTATAATTTGCTGAAATTAAAAAATAGCTATTTAAAAAAAAGTTTAGTTTCAGATAGAAGAGAACCATTTACCTACTCCCTACTCCTACTTTTATAGCAAGCCTGAATTTACTGATGATCTATTCTAAAGATATAAAAGAGTGCATGATTTATCTAAATGAAATAACAATTTTAATCTGTTGTAATGCCTACTGCCCCTGAAAATTCCAACATCATCATTAGGTTTGGTTCTGAACCATGGTAGTTCTATAAGTTGTGTTTTAGAGCTGCAGACCAGTACTGGTCCATGGCCTGGTAGGAACCGGGCCACACAACAGGAGGTGGGCAGCAGGTGAGCAAATGAAGCTTCCTCTGTATTTACAGCCACTCCCCATCACTGGCATCACCACCTGAGCACCGCCTACTGACACATCAGCAGCACCATTGGACTCTCATTGGACCTTACTGTCAACTGCACCTGCAAAGGATCTAGGTTGCTTGCTTGAATCATCCCAAAACCATCGTTCTCCACCCTCACCCCCCAACTAGTCTGTGGAAAAATTATCTTCCATGATACCAGTCACTGGTGCCAAAAAAGCTGGGGACCACTGCTTTAGAGTTTTTCCATCCTAACGCATGGTCTCTCTGCTTAGGTTGCTTTTTCTCTTCATCTACCTCCTTCTCCTACAACCTTACATTGATGATTATATGTCTCTTCTTCGGGGAGGCCTTTCCTATTCCTTCACCATTCTGGAGGCTAGAAGTCCAAGATCAAAGTGCTGGGAAATTCGCATTCTAGCCTTCCTAGCAAACAGCTTTTCTCTGAGCTATCGTCACTATTCTTATTAGTTTGTTGAATGTCCCTTTCTCTATAGTCCATGAACTCCCTGATGGCAGGGGCTCTCTCTGTCCCATTTACTGATCTCACAGTAAACAAATCACAGGGTAGGTGTTCAGGGAATTTTTTGGCATGAATTAATGAATTGATTCGATTCACTTAAGTAGCTATTTGTTTAGGACTTCTTAAATGCGAGCTATTGTCGATCAAGCAATCATGAATAATACCCTGGTCCCTTCCATAAGCGTCCTCGCAGGACAAAGATAACATCTGTATGTGAAGCAGCAAATACAAATCCAGAAGACAAGTTGAGACTGCCTGGGTCGGAAGATGGCTCAAGTAATGAAAAATCAGAATGGAAGTCCAGAGCTTTAGCCAACCGCTTCTGAGTTTAGTCCAACTCGGAACACTGCTCACACCATCTGACTTCCAAGATATGTGTTGTTACCCCAGAATTTGGCATTCTAGCTTAATTTGGTGGAAAGGGGAAGAATTCAGAAGTGAAATCCTTGGTTCAAATACTGGCTCCTCCCCAGACTTGCTGAGCAACCCCATTGAAGTCACTTTTATGAGCTTCACTATTTGCAGATTCAAAATCAAGATAAATAATTTCTACTTCACCAGTTTTTCATGGAGATCACAAATCATAATATACGAAAATACTTTACAAATTTAAAATAACACACGACTGTTAGCTATTACGTATCTTTTCTGTCTTAAAAATAAATCCTGTTTTAGTTAAAAACTTTATCATATCTGAAAGTTTTTTCTTTTTCTTTTTTTGTTGAACGGAAGAGAATGGCAATTTCATCACTTCTTC